AAAATCGATTTTTTTTCCTCCCATGAAAAAATCGAAGAGATTCTGAAAGTAGATGTCAAAAAAAATATCCGTGTCTCAGTTTTTACCAGATCAAGTCGTTTTTTATGCAACTATTTATCGTATTTGGCTTTTTACAATTGTTTTAAATTATTATATAATTTACTGTGTAATATGTACAATGTATACATAATACAATACTTCTATATATTTATATTTGGTTATTGTGGATGTTTTAATAATAAATTATAATGGTGCTCGTAACAAAAAAAATATTAAAAACGAGTAAAATATTATATTAAAAAGTGAGGCGTAAACGCGTTTATTATGTTAAATCGAATCCACAATGTGCTCTTTTGCTTTCTTGTCTCTTCCGAAGTTTGTCAACTTTTATCTCGACCGATTGAAAATGAAGAAACAGGATAAATGGCAAAAAGACAAAAGGTAAAAAATGGTAAAAAGTAAGAAAACAAGAAACAAAAAGCACATTGTAGATTAAACTTTAGACACAGATAAACTTTGTAAAAAGATACAGAATATCTCACACGTTTTCGACAAAGATATTGCGAGAGAAAACACCAATTATTATTGTACGTGTGTGCAAATAAGTGATCAGCGCGTATCTTTCGCGACCTCGAGTCGCGCTTTCGACCGTGTCTATAGTGCCTCGGACGGTGCCATCGTTAAACGACTTTATTGTCTGGAATCATGCTCCTGCTTCCCTTCATGGCCGCAAAGATGTGACTCACTCTCGTCACTCGCGTAACGGGTGTCCCGACATTCCATGGAAACCGGCGGTCACGGGTTGGGTTATCCATGCTCGAGATTACGTCGTGAATGATATATCGAGTGTTTCAGACTGATGACTCAGACGGCACAAAAATCCTTTCCTAGGCAACTGTAAACTAGGATATTCTCTTTTAACTCAAACTCTGCCGTTCTTGAGAAATTATTTTGAATCTTTATTATTGGAGGAGGATTTGGAAGAAGATCATAAGTGATAAAAAGATTTAAAAAATGTATAATGAAGATAGAAATGGTTTGAAATCGTGATTGATAGGAGAGGAAGAGAGATTTTAATTTTATTATAAATTTTGTTATAATTCATTTTTTATATACTTTTAAATGTCCCGACTTTGCATTGTTTACATTAATATGCGGATGGCATAGTGCTGTTGTAACGCTGCACACTCAACCGGAGATCTAATTTTTGCGAAACGCTTCAATCGTGATGCAACGCACTTCCTGAGCATATTTTAACGCTGGACAGTATAGCCATTTCATGCCGATTGGATCGAGAACGTAAATGGGGAAATATATATACACTCGCAATTTGTAGTGATTGTTCTATCATTAATCGCGTTTATTGGTATAAATAGAATCCTATCCTGAATTCTGACATGAATTGCAAATCATTTGAAACAAACTTAACGCGAAAAATTTTTAAGATTAGAATATGTATGTATAAAATCTATTATAAATTTAAAAAAATATTATAAATTACATACAATTATAAGCAGGATTCTGTTCTAAAATCTAACATAAATAAAAGATCTTAAGTATTTCAAATTAAAAAAATTTATTTTTGATCAAATAAGTAATGCTTAATAATAATTTTTATGTAAATTCTTTTTGCAAACATGTTTTTCAGTATTATCAATGCGCATCGATTTGGTTTGTCGAACTTGACACATATCGTAGTTAAAGCTGAAATATTAAGTATAATATTTCAATGATTTGACCGCAGTTGAAGTAATAATTTTCGCAATAAGTTCTTTGTACATTTTTAAGACATTATTAAGTGATGATATACATTATTAAAATTACATTATTAAATTGATGATCAATTTATAATTTCAGTTTCAGCTATAATTTACGTTTTAAGTTTAATAAATTAAATCGGCACACAGTTTATAAAACTAAAAAATGTATAAAATTTGCATATAAAAATATTATTAAGTACTATTATTAAGATCTTTGATCGAAAATATGATTTTTTTTCTTTTTTTTTTCATTTGATTTATTTTTATTTAATTTAATATGTTTGCTTAATTGTTCAAGACTTCAAGTGCTTTACGTGGTATTAATGATTGCATTCTCTCACAGGGGATTGTACACAGGAATTACCGACAATTGCAGATCGCTAATTTCTCCGAATTGGCTTTATAGATTATCAAATTCTTTTACACAATAAAAGTACGCAAAAAAAAAACATTGATCACATTAAATTTGACGAAAAAATTGGAAACAAAATTGAAAGTTCACTTTATTTCAGCTCTCACAGCTGTCACTACAGCTGTCACTTCAGGTCGTACGTACCAAATGATACCTTCCCCAGAAGCGTATAACATGCAAAAACAATCCTGAGTTTGCGAAATTGTGAAGGTCTAACAAAAAAAATTTTCCAAAATTAAAGTTGTATTTTTTTGTATAACAATTACTTTTTTCCTCTTTTACAGATTCGAAAATCCTTTTCCAGGATTAAAGTATACGCATTAATACGTGTCTGTGAGGTGGAGTTTATGCCGAAAACGACAAAAAATTTCGAAATTGAAATTTTAAGAAAAATTTTTTGTTGTTCTCGGCATAAACTCTACCTCACAGACACGTATTAATGCGTATACTTTAATCCTGGAAAAGGATTTTCGAATTTGTAAAAGAGGAAAAAAGTAATTGTTAAACAAAAATTATGATTAGTCGGTAATACAAACAGCTTTAGGATCCCCTTCAGAAGTATCTTCATTTATATCTAGTCATTTTTTCATTATCTATCACTTCTATACGATTTTTTAATGGATCGACAAATATTGCTTATAAAAAATATGCAAAAGTAATAAATTTATGACTGCAGGATTTGATGATTCAGCTTCCCCACATCAATTCATTGGATTGTGGGATGTACCTACGTCTCGACAGATGTCGCGTCGCTTCATGATTATGATAAAGGGTGTCCCAAAATTAACGCAAGATTTGAATTAAATAGAAAACACAGTTTTTAGTCTTTTGATTGTTATTTTTTTACTGAATCATAAAGTACATAGGATAGGGTTATTTGTGGAATAACACATCGGGCAAATGGCCTCCACGGCTTTGCATGCACATACGCACTCGTTTGTCGAAATTTTCCATGACCATTTTGCATAAATGCGGCTGAATTTCGTTGATGCAGCGTTGAATCTCCTCCTTTAATGCACGGGTGGTTGTGGACTTGTTGACATAGACCTGTGATTTCAAATAACCCCATAAAAAGAAATCTAATGATGTTAAATCACACGATCTAGGGGGCAATTTTGGCGATTAACAAAGCCATCAAGGTGAAAATGTGCTTCATCGCTTAGGATGATTTTGCTCGAAAAATCAGCATCCATTTGTTGATGATTCAATAATCCATTCAACAAACTCATTTTCATTAACCTTAAACTGTCAGCTGTTAAATTGTTTTTCTTTT